TAAACTATTAATTAATTTTAATTATATTTTACATATTGCAGCATGATCTCCAACATATTGGGATCCAATAATAATTTTTTTAAACTATTAATTAATTTTAATTATATTTTACATATTGCAGCATGATCTCCAACATATTGGGATCCAATAATAATTTTTTTAAACTATTAATTAATTTTAATTATCTTTTACATTGGGCAGCATGACCTCCAACATATGGGGATCCAATAATAATTTTTTTAAAACTATTAATTAATTTGAATTATCTTTTACATATTGCAGCATGATTTCCAACATATTGGGATCCAATGATAACTTTTTAAAGCTATTATTCGATTAAAAAAACAACTACATTCAAATATTTTATCAGCTTGCATGATAAAATAGTCTGCCAAGTGCGGGATGTAAAAGTTAGCATTTACTTGGTCTTGGCCTCCCCAGTGGCAGAGCGGTATGTCTGCGGACTTACAACGCTAGAATCCGGGTTTCGATACCCGTGGTGGGCAGAGCACAGATAGCTAATTGTGTAGCTTTGTGCTTAATTACAAAAACTACAAACAAACATACTTGGTCTTGATATGTTATAGTTTATTAAGCATACAGTTTGCATTTGTTTTTCTGTAAAATACCATAATAAAGAGTCATGTTCCAGTGATATCTTTTCTTCTCTGTGTTCTGAAGGAAACCAGGTTATTGGCTCAAGTTTATCCCCATCCTGGATCAGCCCGTCCAGTAATAAAACTACGCTTTCCGTTTTTACTCTGCCGTCCAAGATAAAAGCTTCAAAAGTCCAGAATCAATCCGTAATATATCCCAAAGACCTGACGAACCAAACACGTTTGAAGACCTTTTCCTCTGAGAACCGTAAGCTTTCTGATTACTCGATCGAGGCTCTTCTGGGGTCATCTAAGCTGAGAAAGAAATACAAGAAACCGGTGAACCCAGAAACACACGATCAGGATATACACGCTACTTTAGGAAAATCGCCGTTTTCGTGTTCCAAGTGTCAAGAAACGTTCAGCACTCCGCATGGTGTCGAGGTACACGCCCGCCGATCGCACAACGGAAAACGGCCGTTCTTGTGCCCGCAGTGCGATAAAAGTTTTGGCCACGAACTGAGTTTACACCTCCACCGAGCTGTCCATATGACCGAGAGAAGCTATGAATGCCAACTGTGCGGGAAGACTTTCAAGAGGTCGTCCACCTTGACCACTCACCTGTTGATCCACTCCGATACCAGACCTTACCCGTGTCAGTACTGTGGTAAACGGTTCCACCAGAAGTCGGACATGAAGAAACACACCTACATCCACACAGGTCAGTAACAGATACATAGATAGCTAGATCACATTCCAATCAATATTGAACCAAATTGGAGATCATTTAAGGACAATTTCATAAAATGTTCTAAAGTTTTAAAATAAAAACTATTCTGTTTGGTTATTAAAACTACCAGAACAGCTGAAATAAATGGTTTAATACTCACCGGATGCGTTTTTTTTTCTTCCTTTGGTCACTGCCAAGCTTTAGCAGTAAACGTATAGCTCTTCTGACCAAAGGTCAAACGACTGCGTGCAGAAGTGAGAAAAACTTAACAAAGCTCGACATTAATTTTACTAAACTTGTAAATCTTGTCTATATGGGTCGCCTTCTTTCTTTTAACTGTCTCTACAATTTCTAGAACCGATAGACGAAGTAGCCAATAAAACAGACGGCAGAGTTCTGTTGACAGAAGTAGACAAACAAAACAGACGGTAGACTTCTGTCTAGAGAAGTAGCCAATAAAACAGACGGTAGACTTCTGTTGAGAGAAGTAGCCAATAAAACAGACGGTAGACTTCTGTCTGGAGAAGTAGACAAACAAAACAAACGGTAGATTTCTGTTGACAGAAGTAGACAAATAAAACAGACGGTAGATTTCTGTCTAGAGAAGTAGAGAAATAAAACAGATGACAGAGCTCTGTCTAGAGAAGTAGACAAATAAAACAGACGGTAGACTTCTGTTGATAGAAGTAGACAAATAAAACAGACGGTAGAGTTCTGTTGATAGAAGTAGACAAATAAAACAGATGGCAGAGCTCTGTTGATAGAAGTAGACAAATAAAACAGATGGCAGAGCTCTGTCTAGAGAAGTAGACAAATAAAACAGACGGTAGACTTCTGTCTAGAGAAGTAGACAAATATAACAGACGGTGGACTTCTGTTGAGAGAATTAGATAAGTAAACCAGATTGGTAGACTTCTGTTGATAGAGAGGGAACAACTAAAACAAACGGGTCCAACGTTCTTTTCTCATTGTATTAAGAACTACATATATAAACATATACCTTATGTGTAGTATTTAGTACAAGCTAAAGGTCTTTCTTTTCTCATTGTATTAAGAACTACATATATAAACATATACCTTATGTGTAGTATTTAGTACAAGCTAAAGGTCTGAGTTTATACATTTTTGTTTATTTGTTTTTTACAGGAGAAAAGCCACATCAGTGTGACATCTGCGGAAAAGCCTTCAGTCAGTCATCTAACCTAATCACTCACACTAGGAAACATACAGGCTTCAAGCCGTTTCCTTGTGACCAGTGTCCACGTGCTTTCCACAGGAGAGTGGACCTACGCCGCCATAAAGAAACTCATCATTTTAGGCCTATCTGTAGTCATAAAGCGCCCTCTACGATTGCCTCTCTAGGGTTCACTGAACAATGTGTTTTTTCTTTCGAGGGAACTTCTGTGCTCTCGTGATCAAGATATATATACGGTTCTTGTCACTGTTCTTGTTACGTCATAGTATTAAGACAAGATACATTAATTTCAATCATGTTTAGTGGAAACCCTTTAAATTTTCATTTTAGTCTTCTTTACACCCAAGAATTTGTTGATGCATTGTTGGTGACATCTAGGAGAAATAATTTCATAATTTATTGTCCGTCATAATGAGGGACGACCATGATGCAGCTTGCGTTATGATGAGACCCGAAACCTTGTGCCCAAAGTAGGCAGTACTTTAGAGTGGGAGGGGGAGGTATAAATGTGCTCAAAGCATGTTTGTGTGTATGTTTTTCTTATAGCAAACTCATATCGGAGTATCTGCTGTGTCTACCGAGGGGAATCGAACCCCTGATTTTTGCGTTGTAAATCCGCAGACTTACCGCTGTCCCAGCGGAGGGACGTGCTCAACGCAGTCAGTAATCTAGAGTGAGTTCGTGTGTGTGTGTGTGGGGGGGGGTATAAATACGTGCCCAAAGCTATGAAAGAGTTATTATAAATTCTGAACGAACTATGGAATATGCGTCAACCAGTTTTAAAATTGTTTAGGAAGACGATTATACTATATTGTACTATTTCAGTATGTAGGCTTCACCATCGACAAGAAATGATGTTCCAAAGTACTGTAATCGTCAAAAATCATGATGTCACACGTGATTTGATTTTTAGTCATTAGGCTATATGTTTTATTTATTTGAAACTTTCATTTTTCGCGTTGTTTCTCTCTCCCGTTTTAGTTTGTTTGTATTTAAGCACAAAGCTACACAATGGGCTATCTGTGCTCTGCCCACCACGAGTATC